TGAGTTCCTACCCAAGCCTATGGGTTATCAGGCATTATGGGTTATCCTGGCTATGGGTTATGTAGACTTTGACTGTAAATTGATTAGGTCAATATGAAAGAATGTTTAAATTTGTACTTGTCCAAGCATGGAGAGATGACTTTAAATGCTGGTAATATATATATATATCTAGAATCCCAATCAGAATCCCAATCAATGATAGTCCCAGAATCTGATCACAATATTCTAGGCTGGAACATGTGATATATTCCAGGCCGGAATATTGAATGAAAACATGTGGCAGATTGAGAATATTCTACGGATCTGCCCAACATTTTCCGGGCTGTCATATACTTGGCAGATGGTGAGAAAATTGAGAATATTCCACGGATATTCCTGTCATATTCCAGCCTAGAAAATGGAATGAATACAGCCTGGAATATTCATAATATTCTCAACATATTCCAGGGCGGAATATGCTCCATTGCCCGCAGTGTAAGGTAGTTCTTTAGACGATCTAAGCGATAGAGTACAGGGTACACTATCGCGCTTTATATACGCGGGCCCGCAAAGGGGGTGATCGGACACCCTGACCTCTACTCCTCCTCCTCGCTCCCGTTCCTGGCCGCAGAGGGGACGATCGTACATCCCTTGCGGGCCAGGCGCTACTCCTAACCTCTTAGCACTCCTCCCCAATCCCCTTGTGTCGAGTTGGGCTCGGCGACGGCTCGACGCGTCGTTCTCGGTCACGTGCTTCCCACGTGTGCGTTCCTCCTACTGGGGCGCATGTTCCCCGTCGTCACGTGCTGCGTGCTACGGGCCCGCGATGGCCCGACACCAGCGCCGGAGCGGACGGGCCGGGTCTTATCCGTGACAGTTCTAATCTTATTACTTACTTTGTTATCCCTTATTCCATTTCCATTACTTCTTGTACTATAAATACTTTGATGTATTACTACGTACTTTAGTTTGTAAATTAACATTGCTGGTCTCTATCTCCAGCGTCGTCTCTCCGCTCTTCTCTTCTTGTCTTGTCTTGGTCAACTGGAAGCCCCGGTTACCTAAACAACCTTCTGTGGTGTTTGTCAGGGGAACCCCCGCTTCGGCCTCCTTCCGACCCTCCGAACGCATCCGAGGTGCATCCGACCGGCGCCCCCTCGGACGCTCCCGACCCACCCCGACCATCGTCCACGGCCTCCTTCGCCCGCACAATCACCGATCCGTCAAGACCCTCCCAACGATCACCTTGGGACAGAGCCTGTGACGCCGCTCAGGCCTTCTGCACTCTACATCGGCAGTTACGGACGACCAGTATATAGTTGGCGCCCTAGCAGGCGGACCCTTAGAGTTTCTTCTCTTTGGATCCTCCCCTGCTAGGCCGGTCCCTCCGTGTATTTCCTGTAGTCTTATTCACTCTTTGGATCCTCCCCTGCTAGGCTTTCGTCGGAGTCTCCGGGGTTGCCCTTACAGTGTTCCGCCCCCCAAGTTCACTCTGACTTCGATTCTGTTCTGACTCCGACTTCGACTCCAGTCCTGTGGTCGACACGGCACTTAACAGGAGCTTTTACAGAGGGGCCGAAAGGGAGGTTCCCCTGACACCCCCTCCCCTCCTGCCATATATAGTAATATATTCTTACGATTAACGTCATGTGACCACTGATGTGATCAACAATTAGGATAAAAAATTCAATCTTTGTGAAACTCTTTTTTGTAAAAAATTTTATATATGTGTATGTGTATATATGTATGTATGTATGTATCTGGAAACTTCAAACACACATGGCAAGCTATATCAACTCTTCAACATGTTCACCTCTCATCAATTGCCTGACAATGGGCCTATGACAGAGTTGGCTGTCTAAGCTCATAGGCCTGAATATATATAGATATAAGTATGAGAGTTGTTGTCAGACTGCGGGTTGGGCCGTGCAAGGTCCTTTCCTAAGAACACGTGCCCGGAACAGAACAGACGGATAGTCGGGCCCGCAAGTACGGCGAGCGGGGTAGATCAAAACCAAAAGGGCCCGTGAACTTGGTCCCTTGTCGTCTGCGGTGGTCGAAGGTTCAAATTGGGTCGTGTCAGGCCCAATAAGTCGCTGACCTCCTTGCACGGAGTAAGGTAGTTCTTCAGACGATCTAAGCAATAGAGTATATGGTACACTATCGCTCCTTATATACGCAGGCCCGCAAAGGGGTAATCGGACACCCTGGCCTCTCCTCCTCCTCCTCCTCTCTCCCGTTCCTAGCCGCAGATGGGATGATTGGACATCCCTTGCGGGCCAGGCGCTACTCCTAACCTCCTAGCACTCCTCCCCAATCCCCTTGTGTCGAGTTGGGCTCGGCGACGGCTCGACGCGTCGTTCTCGGTCACGTGCTTCTCACGTGTGCGTTCCTCCTACTGGGGCACATGTTCCTCGTCGTCACGTGCTGCATGTTACGGGCCCGCGGTGGCCCGACACCAGCACCGGAGAGGACGGGCCGGGTCTTATCCGTGACAGTTGTGAACTGTAGAAATTAGAGTGTATACACTATATTTTCAGTCTCTTTACACCCATATAAGGCCTAAATCTTTCATATACAAAAAGTTTTTTTACCCCCCGGAGATCAAATTGTAACCTGTGCACATCCCCCGGTGTTTCTAGCACCTCGATCGCGATTCGCGACATGGTCCCCCAATGTGGGCTGCAAAATCCTCTGCCTCCCGCCTACCATTTCATTAGTAATGATTCATTCAGTGCTACTGCTCCTGTCACAGCTGTCACAGCCTTGTTGACACAATGATCGGAGTCACCTGACGGCACCTTCTTTTGATCAGGCACCACGACCACCAATCAAGCTTAAGACCGCCCGGAACGCACTGCCCTACGGACGGAGGCAGCTTAGCTCTGAATTCGTCACTTGCATGAAGTGTCTCCGCAGGCTCCCGCGTCCAGTCCCAGGGTGCATCTTACAAAGCACCGAAGGAATGGCACTTTCATGCTCTATTGCGCATCTATAGCCAAGGCGACGCCCTGATCTTTCCGCCGTCCCGACCTCGCAGACCTGCGCGGGATGATGGACGACCGACCGCGATGCTGATACGATTCCGCCGCTAACATAGTTATATCACTCGGATTCCCGAACAAGAGAGCATGGCAACTCGTCCACCGCATTGCATTCAACTTGGATCTCACACAACTAACATCGCCCCGGACAACACAACAGACCCCAGCACGAGCCACCCCGCCGTCTGCCCCGCGCCCGCAGCGTTCTTCTTCCCCGAGCCGCCGGGCGAGCTCCCGGCCGGTGCGGCGCCGGTGGCCGACGCGCCGGCCGCGCTCGAGCTATTGGACGGCGCCCCAAGGTCGGCCGCGCCCGGGCCGTGCGCCACGCCGTCCTTGTCGACGAACGTGCCGTCGATGGTGGCCTCCGGCAGCGGGTGGAGCGTCGACGCGCACCCGGCGCGGTACGCGTCGAAGGCGGCCTGCCCCGCGGCCGCGGTCGCGCCGCCGGCGAACACCTGGCAGTTGAGGCACTGCCGCTCCGTCGCCGCGTAGTTGATGTTGCAGCACGCCGCGGAGGTGAGCTGCGTCGGGTCGCATTGCAGCGGGGGCCCCAGCTGCGGGCGTGCTCAGTGACCATCAGCAAGAGAGGGAGGGAGGGAGGGACGCACGGGGAGCGGCGTGCAGGGCTGCAGGCAGATGTCTGGCAGCATCGCACTGGTCTGCCGTGCGCGGAGGCCGGTCACGGTGGCGTTTAGCAGGGGCGACCCCGCAGCCATGCTCGCGAGAACTGCTGTCAGATCAGCTAGAGAGCACAACACGGAGTAGAGGGGGTATCACCAAGGAGCACAGAGGACGCGATGAAAGTCATGTGAACAAAGAAGCAAAAGGGGGGACTTGAAGAGAGAAGAAGAGAATAGCGCTCGCGCCTGAAGCTGGGGAGAACAAACGCAGAACACCCGCGCACCTGCGTCTATAAGTATCCCCACCGGCGCTTAATCCTTACAGCCGCCCTTCCACCGCTGCCAGCGACAGGCTGTACATTCTGTTCGCGTCGTCCACCCCCCTGATATGCCCACCCTCCCGGTGCTGTGCGGGAGGACTGAACAGGAGGATCGACGGCCCTGGGAAGGAAAGCCATATTTAGTCCGATACCTCGCGCGACTGGATACCCGGTGTTTCGAGTTCCCAACTGTGATGCATCCCAAACGCTGTGTGTAGTAGTATTTCGTACATGTTACACTCGTGGATTACACACCCAGCACCACCCCCGCCACCGCCAAAACTCCCACGGCAAGCCACCCCTCCGCCTTCCTTCCAGTTCTGCCGGCCGCATTCTTCTTCCCGCTCTCGGCGGCGGCGGCGGGCCCCGTCCCCGACGCCGCCGCGCCGGCCGCGCTCCTGGACGCCGCGATCGCCGCGGAGATGGCGCTCGCCTGCGGGCCGCGGATCGCGCCGTCGCCGTCGACGAACGTGCCGTCGATGGTCGCGCCCTGCGCGAAGAAGTGGTTCGCGGTGCAGAAGCCTTTAAACGCTGTGCCACAATCAGCGGACTTGTACATACGCTCAGTAGAGGGGGACGACGCACTGTCGTAGTCGGCCTGCGCTTTGGGGGCCGCGAGGAAGCCCGTGAAGACCTCGCAGTTGAGGCAGCGGATCTGCGCCTGGACGACGTTCGCGGTGCAGCACGCGCCCGCGACGGGCCGCGCGGTGTCGCACGTGCTCGGCAGGAACGGCGTGCACGGCTTGTCGCAGAGGCTCGGCCGCGTGCCGGTCTGCCGGGCGTGCAATCCGGGGGCGGCGGCGGTGGTGTTGAGCAGGGGGAGAGGCGGCGGCGAGCGCTATGGGATCGGTGGTTTGTGTATGGCGAAAAGCAGAGGGGAGCGTACCGAGGAATATGATAGATGGAAGGAAAGACATCATGTTACAACAATGGGAAATGGCGTCGAAAGAGAAGAAGAGACGGAAGGAAGAGCGCTAGCGCCGAGAAGCAGAGAAAAAGAAGAAACGAGGCACGCACTCATTATTGGGGACGTCTACTTATAAACAACCAGCGGCGCGAAAGGCTTGGCCATGACCACCCGCCTGACAGTTCGGGCGTCGTCTGCCGCCCTGATCTTCCGGACAGACCATCTTTGATCGGGAGCAGCGCGTCGGAGGTTCGGCGACCGTGGGCTCTGAAAAGCCGAGCGATCCACCGTGCCTTCTGAAGGGAAGCCGGTACGCAATGTCATAATAAAAGGTACATTCAATTTCCAGTTCAGCTTCTACAGCGCCGCCACACCAGCGAGCAGCGCCGTCGCCAGCGCGGCGAGCCACGCGCTGCCAAGCCCGGCTGCTGGCTGTGCGCCGTTTGCCTTGGGGGCGGGGCCGCGGAATGTGCCGTTCGCGTCGCGGAAGGTGCCGTCGATGACCGCGTTCTGCACCGTGAACAGGTGCGAGCGGCAGAAGTCCTGGAACTCTGCCGCGCGTCAGGGCGAAGAGGGAAATAGCCTAGGCACGCACTGCGGAAGTCGTCCTGCGCGCGCCGGGCGCTCGTGACGTTCGTGAACACCTCGCAGTTGAGGCAGCGCGTGCGCGCCTGCACGACGTTCCCCACGCAGCACGTGCCCGCGGACGGCCGGCTCATGTCGCACGTGCTCGCGGCCTGCCGGCGGCGGCGTCAGCGTCGGTGTAATCCAGGAAGGGGGGAGGGCACGCACGGGGAGCTGGCACGGGACGTCGCACATCGCGGGCCGCGCGGCCGCGGGCGTGGTTGATGCGGACAGCGCGCGCACCTGCAGCCCGCCGTCGATGTCCCCGATGTCCGCGATGTCGGGCGCGGCGAGCGGGGAGGCGAGCGCCGGGGCGAGGGTCAGGGCTGCAAAACATCGGGACGGGGCACCGCGCGGGCGAGGGGCGTACCGAAGAGGAAGAAGGACAGGACGAACATCGCGCACAGCGGGAAACAGAAAGCGGAAGCAAAAAACGGGAGGGAAGAAGAGAAAAGACGAAGGGTGCCTGCCGGAGACGCGGAGAAGGGGGAAAAGGGGACGCACGAGGCGCGCACGCGGTTATAAAGGGCCTGGGGGCGACGCCGGGCTTGGCGGCCGGCTGTTGCACGCCGCGCGCCAAGCGCGTGTGGGCGTCGTGACGGCAACCGCGTCACGTTACGCGTCGCTTCTTGCTCCCAGCCCCGACCACGATGTCTATCGCTTCTCTACTTCGCGGGCAGATCGCCGACATCGACAGCCGGTTGCCTGCTCTCCGTCAACAATTCGCCGATCTGGAGGCCCGGCAGGCCCAGCTCGTTGCGCAGCTCAGCGAGATCAAGTATCCCGTCCTCACGCTCCCGCACGATGTCACGCTCTGCATCTGGTCGTTCGTTATGGAGCCATGGAACCCTGTCTACGAATACTCCGAGTCTGAGTATGTACCAGCACAGCCGGCCCCCGTGCTTGCAAGTGTGTGCCGCGTGTGGCGACAGCTTGCCCTGTCAACGACGGAGTTGTGGAGCACGCTAATAGTCTCGTGGCGGCATACTGGATCTAGGCGCACCATCTCGCTGGTTTCACTCCTTTTGAAGCGCGCCGGGAGCATCCGGCCGCTCGACGTTGACTTCCGGTCCATTCGCAGGCACAAGCACATCCAGAAGGCCCTCAATACACTGAAGCCTGTAGAAAGCAGACTGCAACGTCTGTGCATATCCCACGACGAAGAGGAGTTTCATTCACCGTTCTTGTACCCGCATGATCTTCCTCAAACGCTGCCCGCGCTCCAAGTCCTCGACCTGGGGTCTTTCCGCCTATCCACCTTCTATGACATCAATGAAATCGAGACTCCTCTTGCGCGGTCCACACCCAGACTCTCTTACTTGCGCGTGGAATCTGCTCACACTGCGCTGCGCCTCGGCTTCCAGTCATCGCTCAGCAATCTTGTCACGCTTGTGCTCGCCCGCGCGCAGTCAGCGGAGACTGCCGAAATGCTCAGCGCAGCCCCGCGGCTGGAGACGCTTCATCTCGGGGAGTGCGGGTTTGAGGACGCCGAGTCGGAGTTCCCCAGCCCTGGCGCCTCTCGACGGCGAGGCGATCTATATCTGGCCTGTTGAACAGGGAGGAAATGGGAGGGGAAAAGAGGACGATTTGAGATTGAACAAGTAGCTACTTAAGTACATATAAACTACAACAGTGTCTAAACTAGTCTGTTGAAGGGCATGTACATATGAAGTACAAAGTGGAATGAACAGAAGGGGAATGGCAATCTGAGAACAAGCGCTGTTTCCGAGAACGGTCCGGGTGGCTGTGCATGCCGCCGGATTGAAAGTCCAACACTCCCCCGCAATCCCAGGCATATCAAAGAATAAAGATAAAAGAAAAGAAACACTTATCAGGTCCATCAGGTATCACATCAACCAGTCATCAGGGAACTCCCCCGGAAAGCCATCTCGATCACCCATGCCGAGGAACCCATCACAAATCCATCCAACTTGTCATCAGGGTACTCCCCCGGAATCCATCTACCATACACCGCCAATTTCTTCGTCATCAAATAGAACCGCACCAGCGCGTTCTTTCTTGGGAGGGGAGCGGCAGTTCCGAGCCATGTGACCGGGCTTCCCGCAGTTGAAGCAGGTGAATTCGGCGCGCAAAGCGACATTCTCGGGGTCGTGATCCGAGAGCTCGTGACTAGTAGGCTTCTCAGCAGCCTTCCGAGCTTCTTCATCGAGCAGTGCTGAGGTGACATCAGCGAGAGCAAGTGTGCCAGTCGATGCAGTAAGCGATGACGCGATGCCGGAGTACGAGTCGTGAAGATTGAAGATCAGGACATCGATGGTGTCGTCGTCGGACAGTGTGGTGTTGGAGCCCAGGGCCGAAAGCCGAGCCGCGAGTGTCGTGATGTCAGTGATGTAATCCTGCATTGGTTGGGCCGGGTCATGGCGATAGCCGTACAGCTGGCGCTTGAGCATGATACGCGTTGCGCGGCTGTTTTTCTCGTAGACTTTGGCAAGAGCTTGCCAGGCCTCGGGTCCGTTCGTGGCGCTGCGGATGTGGATGTACTGGGTTTGTTGGACAGCCAGCCCAATCAGCGCAAAACCCTCCTCCGCGGCTGCCTTCCAGTCAGCATCTTGAGCACTGGCAGCGGGAATGGAGTCGGTGACAGCGGAGTACACCTTGGCGCCGGCGCGGCGCAAGATCAAGCCCATCGCGAACTTCCAGTCATAGTAGTTGGTGCCATCGAGCTTCGGGACAGCGGCAAGCAAAGAGTTGACATTGGTTTTGCCGGTAGACATGATGGGAACAAGAGATCAAAAGAAGCGAGATTTCGGGGTTTAATCAAGGAGGGCGGGGCCCATAACCTGTTGAACAGGGAGGAAATGGGAGGGGAAAAGAGGACGATTTGAGATTGAACAAGTAGCTACTTAAGTACATATAAACTACAACAGTGTCTAAACTAGTCTGTTGAAGGGCATGTACATATGAAGTACAAAGTGGAATGAACAGAAGGGGAATGGCAATCTGAGAACAAGCGCTGTTTCCGAGAACGGTCCGGGTGGCTGTGCATGCCGCCGGATTGAAAGTCCAACATGGCCCACCTCCGGGAACTCGCGTGCCTGCACGACGACTGGGCCGCGCTCATAGGCCGCCTGTCACTCCCTTGTCTTGAATCCGCGACCCTCGGCCATCTCCGGGGCCCGTGCGCTGCTGAATTCGGCTTCGGCATCCGCCGCCATCCCCAGCCGCCCCTCCGCGAGCTTACTATCCGCGGAATCGCGCTGCTGGCGATCACGCACGTGATCGCGGGCATCCCGCCCACCGTCGCCGCGCTGTCGCTCGACGACGTGCCGTGGGATCTTCCGGAAACCAGCCTGTTCTGCCGGTCCGTCGAGACGCGGCTCCCGGCCTTGGAACATCTCCGCGTCGAGAACCTCGCCTGCACTTCCCGCGAGCCCGCAACCATCCAAGCCAGGGTCCGCCGGTGGGTCGACGCGGTTGCCGCCCGGAGCAACCGGACAACGGCGGAGTCGGGCAACGGCGCGGGCCAGGCCTTTGCGCGGCCGCCGGTCCGGCTCAAGTCGTTTTTTCTGGAGCTCACCGACTCTAATGATGGGGAAACATTGGTGGAGGAGCTCCAAGCCCCTGTCCTCGACCGATTACGCACAATGCAAGCCCAGGGACTGCAAGTTCGTGTTATTGTCCGGAATACTAGTACTTCCTCGATATTGATAGCATGACTTGTGATCCTATTTACGTCCAAAATAATAAATGCAGCACCAGTGTTGTTGATAAGTGTTAAGGGTTATTGATATTAACGCTTTGTGATATGATAATAATAAGCCCTTATCATGAAGGTGAATCATGATAAGGCCCTTAATAGCCTTAATGATGCCATCAAAATGATTGATCATCCCTGAGTACAGCTGCCTTTGACCAAAAAGAATCTATTAAATTTCTACTGTATCTTATTGATATTTTTAGTCTCATTAGAGAAACTGACAATTGCCCTTATCCCAGCAATAGGGGTTGTAATGAACTTCCAGCCTGTGCAATCATAGGGGAAACACTCACCAATGCTTACAGGTCTTATGATCATGTAAGGGCAACCCTGGAGACTCCGACGAAAGCCTAGCAGGGGAGGATCCAAAGAGTGAATAAGACTACAGGAAATACACGGAGGGACCGACCTAGCAGGGGAGGATCCAAAGAGAAGAAACTCTAAGGGTCCGCCTGCTAGGGCGCCAACTATATACTGGTCGTCCGTAACTGCCGACGTAGAGTGCAGAAGGCCTGAGCGGCGTCGCAGGCTCTGTCCCAAGGTGATCGTTGGGAGGGTCTTGACGGATCGGTGATTGTGCGGGCGAAGGAGGCCGTGGACGATGGTCGGGGTGGGTCGGAGCGTCCGAGGGGGCGCCGGTCAGATGCGCCTCGGATGCGTTCGAGGGGTCCGAAGGAGGCCGAAGCGGGGGTTCCCCTGACATCACCCCCCTTTGAATGCGGCGTCCCGACGCATAATACAGAAGGGCAGCGAGTCGAAGGTTGCTGAGGCGATGTGCCGTGGTTTACCCGGGTATCTCCGATAGAAGTCCGCAATCTTGTCTGGCGCAAAGACACGGTCGAACCGAACCCACGAGTCGTGTGAAGCATCGTAGCCTTTCCACCTGACGAAATAGTTAAGACGCTTATACCTTATCCTGGCATCCAAGATTTCCTCGACTTCCCATTCGGGAACTCCGTCCTCTAGTTCGGGGGGCGGTTCGTCGTAGCCGGGTCGTCCATTGAAGGGGTCGTCCTGAGCGGGCTCGAGCTTAACAACGGGGAAGATGGGGTGGAGCTTGGAGTAACGCGGGGGGAGGTCTAACTTGTAGGCACCTTTGCTAACCTCTGCGAGCACCTTGAACGGTCCAAGGCGCTTGTGGGAGAACTTCTCGGAGGGCCGAGTCGTTCTAATGTCAGAGGCGTCCAACCAAACCTTATCACCAACTTGAATATTCGGAGCGTCCGAACGTTTCCGATCGTAGTACCGTTTATACTCGTCTTTGGCTTTAACGAGCGCGGCCTTTGCCTCGGAGACGCCGTTTGCTATCCGATCGCGAAACTCGTTCACCGACTCCAACTCTGAGCGGGCGCCTGGCTCGAAACCCATTCGGGGGAGCCGACCAGTGTCAGTCATAAAGGGTACCTGTTGAGTGGAGGAGTGAACGTGGTTGTTATAGGCGAACTCAGCGGCAGGGATAAGCTCGTCCCAGTCGTCTTGTTGGTAGTTGGTGAAGATCCGGATGTACTGCTCGAGCTCTTGGTTAACGCGCTCGGTTTGTCCGTCGGTTTTGCGGGTGGTAAGCCGTGGAGGTAGCCGGTTTGACGCCAATTAAGCGCCAGAGTTCGCGCGTGAAGTCAGCGATGAACTGCGAGCCACGGTCCGAAATGTACTTCTCGGGGGTTCCGTGGTGCCTCCAGACGTTCCGATAGTACAAGCGGGCAGCTCCGACCGCGTCTATTGTCGTATGGCACTCAGTGAAGTGGGCGCGCTTTCCGAGGGCGTCGACCACTACCATAACCGCGTCATACCCATGGGCCTCGGGCAGCTCGACAATGAAGTCTACGGTGACAGTGTGCCAACGTTCAGGCGGGACTTCGGTCGGATGCAGCTCTCCATGCGGAAGCCTTCGGAGGGCCTTCGTGCGGCAGCACAAGTCGCAGGTCGCGACGTAGCGTCCGATATGGCGAGACATCTGCGGCCACCAGTAGTTGCGCGAAACCAACTCTAAGGTCTTGAACCGCCCGGCGTGTCCGGCAACTCGCGTATCGTGGCAGAGCTCGATGATGCGCCTCCTTAGGTCCTTGTCTTTAGGGACTACAACCTTGCCGCGGAAGTACAGGAGGTCGCCGGAGACGGCCCAATCGTCCGAACGTGATGAGCGGGGACCCCGAACTTGACCTCGGACCTTCAAGAGTTGCCGGGCCGCAAGCGCGACGGGCTCCTCTAGGTCAGGCTCACCGGATAGCGCTTCCTTGATGTCGCGGACAAGTTCGGAGCCAGGCCCAGAGACGGTGACGGCCTCAAGCGCACGAACATGGAACAGTTCGGGGCGTAGGAGGGTGACATCCGAGTTGTCTTCGGAGATGCCGTGATCAGGCCGGCGGGAGAGAGCATCGGGACGGCCCATCTGGCGACCTGGGACGTGGTGCAGCGTAAAGTCGAACCTAGAAAGGTACAGCGACCATCGGGCTTGCCGACGGTTAAGGTGCTGTGCCTTTCGGAAATACTCCAAATTCTTATGGTCAGTCCAGATCTCGACCGGATGCGCGGCGCCCTCGAGGAAATGCCGATACTCCTCGAGTGCGCGGATGATCGCGAGCATCTCCTTGTCGTGAATCTCGTAGTTGCGCTGGACATCATTTAAGCTTTTGGAATAGAACGCTACAGGGTGCCACTTCCCGTCCGGGGCGGATTGTTGTGAAAGAACCGCCCCGTCGCATAATCTGAGCTGTCTGCTTCAAGTCGGAAAGGCCGGGAGTCGTCCGGGATCGCTAAGACGGGCTCTGAGACGACCAGCGTCTTTGATAGCTTGAAAGGCGGCGGCCTGGCGTCTCCCCAGGCCCATTTCTGGTC